GTTCGAACAACTTTTTTCTTCTAGCTCCGAATATCTCTAGTTGAGATATATTTTCAGTTGTTCCAGGTAACATAATATCACAAGTTTGAACAATTAACATATGTTACGATGAAAATATATTGATGACTTAGTTGAGGGTGTGGGTATGGGTGTAGGTGTGAGTGCGGATATGGGTGTAAGTGCGCATGCGAGACTGATCTTAATTCAAACTCACCCACACCAACGCCCGCACCACACCCACACCCACACCACCCACACCCGCACCCACCCACCCCACACCCACACCCACCCACACCCACATCCACACCCACCCACACCCACACCCCACCCACACCCACACCCACACCCCACCCACATCCACACCCACCCACACCCACACCCCACCCACACCCACACTCGCACCCTAAACATAGATATCTCTAAATTTTGATGAACAAATGAATATGCACCAACCTGCGTGGGGTGTGGGTGAGTCATCTGCATACCCACACCCACACCCACAAATAGTAGATATTCATCGAATTAGTTTCATTATGCATTTCTGCCTTATTATGCCTCTCTCAGACTGCATGAAATGTACCTTAATAAAACACTTGTTTTTCTTTTTATTAAACAAACAGTTGAAAATTATTTTTCGATGATAAAACCGCTTGAAGTTTCTTTTTTTGCTCATTGAGCATTTTGCAGATAGTTATAGACAGTGTCTTTAAAGATTGATTGTTTTCAATCATTTTTACCAGGAAATCAATACTCGACTCATCAACAGACAAATCAAAGCTAATATAGAGCTCCTGAAGAGTAGTATTATGATGAGTCAGAGCATTAGCTAAAACTTTGACACCTCGATTGTTGATTGCATTTTTTTTCAGAAAAAGTTGAATCAATGTGCGATTAGTTTTGAGCATTTCAGCTAGATGTTCAGCACCCACTGCTGTAATATCGTTTGAATCAAGATGAAGGATTTTAAGAGCCATATTTTTCGTTGCAAGTGCTTCTGCTAATAAACTTACACCCATGTCAGAGAGTGTGAGTGTGGGTGTGTGGGGTGTGGGTGTGGATTGGTGGGTGTGGGGTGTGGGGTGTGGGTGTGGGTAGGTGTGGGTACGTATGGATCAACAGAGCTTTCGCTCACACGTCACACCCACACCTGCACTCACATCCACACCAACACCCACATCCACACCAACACCCACATCCACACCCACACCCTATTGACAGTAATTTGCAAATTTCTAGAAGAAAAATCCAGTAAAATGTCATACGATTAGAAAAATGCGATCATGGTATCTCTCCTTTCAATTTCTTTATCATTTTTTGGAATCTCCCAAATCTAAGCGAATTGGTATCTTTTTATATCAGACAATGTTTACTTTTGTCAAATCACTTGATAGATCTTTATATTTATTTTTGAATATTAAAAAGAAATATGATGAGCAAAATAATAAAAAATGTTACAACCAATGTTTATACTTAAAAAATGAAAGCATGAGTATTACCAACATACCCATGCAACTAAGTACAATAAAATAACCATTTTTATAACGAAGTTCAGGCATATTTTCAAAGTTCTAAAAAAAACAAATTTGATTGAAGCCAAAAAAAGAAAAGCAACAATAAATTAATTTACCATGCCATAAACTCCACCAATAAATGTTAATGGAATAAAAATGCTTGTTACAATTGTTAATGTTTTAACTATTTCATTCATATGATTTGAATTTAAGATCATATAAAAATCAAGAAATGATGATAACATTTCTCTATATGTATCAATAGAATCATTAGCTTGTACAATATGATCAAATAAATCTTTTAAATAAATATTTGTACTTTCTTGCATAATTTGTGTTTCTTCTTCTTTTTGTAATTTAATAATTATTTCTTTGAATGGAGATATTATTGAACGTAAAGAAAGAATATCACGTTTTAAATCATATATAGATTCTAATGTATCACATTTAAGTGTTTTCATCAATTGATTATCAATTGATGCAACTGATGTATCCATCATATGAAGAACATCCATATAATGATCACCAATAACATCAAGAAGCGAATAAAAGAGATAATCAATTTTAGATTTTCTTATACGACCTTTTCCTTGTCGAATACGATCTTGAAAAAGATACAAACAAGAAGTAATTATAAATGAATTCATAAGTGGAGAAAACTTGAGAACGGAAGCAAATAGAAACCTGTAGTTTTCACCATTGAAAAGAGCGATGTCACGTGTGCCGATCAGGTGTGCATTGATATTTTGTTCTCTGTAAATTTTCATCATTTTTCCGACGAACTTCAACAAAAATTTTATCAAAATAGATCCCAAAACACCATATATTCATAGTGAAATTTCCATGAGTTTTTACTAACTTCTCAACATTTATCTTCAATGAAGTTACCGCAATAAATTTAATCATAAATACATGGTGTTTTAGGTTCTATTTTGATAAAATTTTTGTTGAAATTCATCGGAGAAATGATGAAAATTCACAAAGAACAAAATATCAATGCATACCTGATCGACATCCGTGACATTTCTCTTTCCAATGGTGAAAACCACAGGCCTCTATCTGCTTCCGTTACCGAGTTTTCTTCATTTATTTAGATAGGTGATCAGAAAAATCTACTTTTTTACCTTTTAATTGATTAAATCAGAATATTTATTTCAAAAAAGAAAATATTACATCTAAACCAAGTTTGAATAAAAGGAAGGACGGTTTGATGATACTAAATTTATGATCTAAGCTTAGTGAAATTTTGCAAACCAAACCTTTCTACTCAACTATTCAAGAAAATTAATTAATGAATGTAAAAAAAGTTTTTTGACAAAAATTAGTGGAATTTATTAAAATATTCATACTTTTTATTGAATCAAATAAATCTTTGGATGTTTCTTGAAATGTTATAAGAATATCATGTTTTAAATAAAAACTCATTTGTTGAATAATTATTTGACCTGTACAATCCATATCATGATATTGATTTGCATACAAGAAATAAAGCATCATCCAATACATCTAATTTTGTTCGTTGTTCAGTTGTTGTTATATCTGTTTGAACTAATGAATGAATATCATAACGTTCACCTATTCCAGATATAACATCTGGATCATGAATACCATCGATATCAATCCCTGACAAAAGAAATACATGTTTATTTTTTCAGATATATGAATGTAAATACATACATGTCATTGAGTTTACTGTTTCCGATTGTGTCTGTAGAAATTCTTCAATAGTTTTATATTTTATTTCCGTACACGAATTTTCATCATACTTAATAACCACGGTTGCCAGATCAAAATCTTACAAATCGGAATTCATTTGCCTGAATTCGGAAAATTTCGGAAAAAATATCTGGCCAATTCGGAAAAAAATTCGGAAAGTAGTGGTTTCAAGCTTTTGGACGCTCAAGTTGATTTTTTAGTAAAAAAAAGCTTTCGCAGTTTGGTTATCCTCTCTGTAAATATATTTCATCAACATTAAAACAAATATATTAAATGTAGTATTATTAGAAAATATCATTTTCAAGAAGAGACAGTTAATACACGAAAAAAGAACTCAAAATAAACTATCTATACATGTATGTATATCTACAATTCAAAACATTTATTGAAAAAGAAACTAAAGTTCATTTACTAAGACGTTTTTCGAACAAACTTTTCATTTTAGGCTATTTTTTTCAATAGTTCCTCTGGAGTAAACGAAAGTCATGAACATTTGCACAAGGAATATCGGAATTATTTCTGATTTATAACTCAGATTTCATCAATTCGATATCCATTCAATTTCGGTAATCAGATCATAAGTTAGTCATGTGACTGAATATTGATTCAAGAAAAGAACTGCTACATGGAATAGAAAATACATAGGTAACAATTAGTTTCAAACTCGGTACTGTCTTTGGGTCAATATTTAAAAAATATGAACATAAGTGATCAAATTGAACGCATTCATTTGCTCTTGCACCAATATTCAACAATCTTTCTAAAATATAACCATTAAAAAGTAAAACAATATCCTTATTATTATTTAGATTACGCTTTCTAGAGATACTAGTCATTCATATGACTTATTCGAAAACCAAACATTGATTGAAGCTATTTTGAGAAATCTTAGATGAAATTTGAAAAAAATGCTTATCATATTGCATCTTCTCCCCCTTCCCTTCTTGTCTGTCAGAATAAAATCAATTATCTAATGATTACAGGATAGTAAAGATGGCGCAATATGAAATCTATCAAAAGTTCTATCGAAAATTGTAATGCAAAAAGAAATTTTTAAAAAAAATACTGCGATTCAAAAAAATTCGGAAAAATCTCAAGAATTCGGATGAATTCGGAACGTCGGAAAGCAGTCTGAAAAACTTAGAAAATTCGGAAATTTCCGAAAAATTCGGATGATCTGGCAACCCTGTTAATAACATTCAAATGAACTGGCGCTCTAAAAATGTAAATGATCAACAATAGTTAAGTCAGTTTTCGATCTAGGATTTTTGAAGGGAAGGTACAATTATAGGCAAAAAGTGTAATTTCAGATTGTGCCAACTTATTTTGTCGCTCTTTTTTCCTGCAAAAATACCGAAAAACTTTTCATGAAGGGGAGAGAGGCGTCGAAGCGATCGCATCCCCGCTCCTGAATAAAATCTATTCGATGAGAATTATTAACAATAGTTCAGGAAAAAACGACTAGTTTAACTTCTGATTCTCCGTTGAGCTTACTATAACAGTGATATTCATTTAAAACTTACGTTGGATCAGAAAGATGTAAAAATTTCTGAGATAAAAAAGCACCAAATCCAAATTGTGTTACACGTCCACGAATTGTTGGTCTTCTACCAATTAGCATATAATTTTCTCTTTCAATGCGTGACTTAATACGTCTTACTGGTAAAATTTTGTTTCTATGTTGTGTAGAACTGTTCATCATAATTATTATCGAATCAGATATTGGCGAACTATGCCAAAAAAATTCTTATGAACGAAAGAAAAATCACCAATTACTAATTTATATTGAAATATTTAGTTCTTGTTTCTTTTTTCTTTTGCAAAATGCAATCGACGTATTTATCAAAATATTATTTTAAATAACTTATGTCAATGATCATAACTTTCATCCATTGATACGATTAATACCCGTTAGGTGTAACAATAAAATAAATATTTTTTTTCTTTCTTTTTCTGGTTTCGGTTTTTTTTACTGTTGATAAAATAAGCACGTAATCGATAAAGAAAACCAACATGTTTTTTTTTTATCAATCGTATGAAACCAATGAATGCATTGAAAGCAATGAAAAAAAAAGAACAAAAATGAAGCATATAAAAAAATAAATTTTACTTTAATTATCGATTACATTTATGGCCTATGACGAATAGATATTAATATTCTTATGCAATTTTCTATAACTCAATCATGTGATATGCTCTTTAAGAGTGTTTAAGTATATGTAAATTGTGATAGAAACCAATCAAATATGTAAATCATTATCGGAGACTATGAATATAGAATTAATTCATGAAGAATATTTACATAAATAAATAAAATATTGAATACTTGATAAGTTTTTCTACCTTTTTAATAGATATCAATCTATTGCACAATAAATTGTGAACGCAATAAAAATTCTCCATGTTTCATTCTGAACAGAATAAATTTTCAATGAATTTATGTTTTATTGTGTACTCAAAAAAGTGAGTACACTCTAGAATCGATCTGGGTGTGGGTGTGGGTATGGTTAAAAAGACAAGGAACACCCACACCTCACACCCTGTGTTGCTTGCCGTTGTAAATTATTTCCTACTTTCTAGAAGTTTTCATCTTTTTCTAAGTGTTTCATCTTCGCATTTCATAGAAACATTTTTCGAAAAGGAACGCCTCGATATTGCAATTTTTTTACAATAACTTTCAAACTTTTATTTTCATGTTGACTATACTTGATTTTCTATTTCATGTCAGAAATAAATGTCAACGCAATCACTTTTGAGAAATAATGTAAAGATTTTTCTTTCGAAGAATAAACAACTCATTTATTTCACACTTCAATTCTCTCAAATTTACCTGCCGGAATTAATACTTAATGTCAAAACTGAATAAAAATTATTGAGAAAGTATATTATCGGTTCAGAAACAACTCAGTTTCAGTTATACTTTCTTATGATAAAATGATTTATAATACCATCCCTTATTTCATACATCTTACAATAAGATCGAGAATTTGAACACACATGATTTAAAATAAAGAGACTTACTCGTTATGACCAGGCATTAGGGGATATTTATCAGGTAGTCAAGGAGTATTCAGTTCAAATCTGAGCTCTTGCAGTTGAGGAAGATGTTCAAGTAAATGTGACAGAAAACCTAGGGAACATTGTCGAAGTACAATTGATTGTAAGTTCAAAAGACTTATTTCAATCGGCATGAAAGTTTTACCAAGTGGTAGAACTATTTAACGATCTAGAGTTTTATATATGTATATCCAGAAACGGAGATGGCATACATGTAACAAAGGAAATAAGTGAAAGATTCTTTCATAATATGCACCTTCAGGCACACCTTCATATGTATAAGCAGCACGATAGTAAGTTGGAAAATGCACGCTAAACATGAAGAGAGAAGTATTGGATGAGAATGCGTTGAGTATCATTTCAAACGAAGAACGTTTAATGTCAATTAAAGATAAATGACGAAGATTGATGAAGGTAGATAAATGTTCAGCTAACCATAATTCATTATCAATAGCTAATGTATCTGAGACACATAATGATATAAGATAATTAGAAACGTTTGTTTGTAATAAATGTGTATAATAGAATTCAGTCAATGCCATATTCATTCCATTTAGACCCAAGTAAACGTGAATAGGTGACATATTACCCCTGAATGACGTAAATGAATTACAAAATAATTCAAAAACACTGAATTACAAAATAATTCACTTTCTATTAGTTTCTACCAGGGTCTAGGGTCTACCAGGGTCTACCAGGGTCTACCAGGGTCTACCAGGGTCTACCAGGGTCTAGGGTCTACCAGGGTCTACCAGGGTCTACTAGAGTCTCGATGTGGGTGCTGCGAAACAACATACATCACATCTCTCTCGTTGTGGGTGCCGCGAAACGACTTACATCACGTCTCTCTCGATGTGGGTATCGCGAAACCCTGGTAGACCCTGGTAGACCCTGGTAGACCCTAGACCCTGGTAGACCCTGGTAGACCCTAGACCCTGGTAGACCCTGGTAGACCCTGGTAGACCCTGGTAGACCCTGGTAGACCCTAGACCCTGGTAGAAACTAATAGAAAGTGAATTATTTTGTAACTCAGTGTTTTTGAATTATTTTGTAATTCATTTACGTCATGGTCTCCACTTACATGATGTTTTCGAGGAAAAAAACTTTAAAGTTGTTTTTCTATTTGAAAAAATCAATATTTGTCACAACATAATCAATAATGAAAGACTAAAATAATCTATCCTTCATTTGATCTAATATGAGCTAATTGTAGTAGATTCAATTGCTTGGTTTTTTTTTGTGTAGGGTAATCCTATCAGAATATTTTGTTTTTTAAATTAAGAAATAATTAGACTGCTTCGTGTAACTTTTATTGATATGTACTTTGTCAAAAATCAGTGTTGTTTTTTGTGCCGTACTTATTAAAAATCAAAAAAAAAATAAATAAAAAGAACTTTTAATTTCAACATTTATATGATTTCAATGGAACACAAATAGGACGAGATGCAAAATTCTTCTATTTATAAAATGATGTTATATATTTTTTATATGTCTAGATATCTCTGGTTGATAATGTAAAACAATTTCGACAAATAACTCTCATTATTTCTTATGTAATTTTTATCAAAATATAATTAGCGTTTAACATGGGATACATCAAATTTTATGATTTCAATTAAAAAAAATGCAAGATGTCCATCTTTTTTCCTCATTTGCTATTAAGTTTCAGTATCTCTTTTATTAAACACATTTTGTTAGAATATGAGACGTTTTGAAGATAAAACAACACTATGTCATCAATTTTTGTGTTTTATCTATGTTACTTTTTTTGTTATAGGTAACAAAGGGATAATTAACCGTAGAGAGCGAATGGTTATACACAAAAAAAATGGTCTCTGAAAGCTTAGTCAAGGCATCTGAAGCTATTTTTTGCTTTATTTTGTTGTGAAAAATCAAAAAAAAAGGATGTGGGTGTGAGTGTCGATGTGGATGTGGATATGGGTGTGAAGTGTAAATGGATGTGAGTGGGCGTGGGTCCGTGTGTTTGGGTAAAACTGTCTCTTACATCTCCATACCCACATTCACACCAACACTCACACCCACCCACACCCACATCCACACCCTGCTCTCTCTTTACTATTTTTATGGGTTTTTAACCTTTCATGTGGAGATCAATCTTTATATTCTGTTACTTCGATGTTTAGTATTCATTTAATCTATTCGTTTAATATTTTCTAGATATACTCGTTGTGAACATTATTCTAAAGATGTATTAAATTGTAATGAAGTGATTTGTTTAAGTCTAAATTTTGTTCGTGCTCATCTTTATCATAGTTGTTTAAAATATTCTCTTCGTTTTTACGATCATACTATTAAAGATTTATCAATAACATTACAAATTGATCCATCTTGTTCACAATTTCAAAAGAAACGAGATAGACAAAAAAAAAATACTTAGTCCTTTAACAGTATTTATAATTGTTGTGTGTAATCATAAGAAAAAACTAAAAAATAAAGCAAGTTTTTATTTCAAAATAATCAATCAAATTCATTTTGTTTTCAGAATCTATTAATCACAATGTTAAGTGATCAAGAGAACACTTGAACAATGAAACTTTCTGTCATATCAATATATCTTTTTTTTTCTTTATTGAATTGAGCAAAGAAAAAAAAATGAACTACAAAAGAACAACTTCTTTTCTCAAACATCCACCTCAAATGTAATAAACAAAGTGAAAACTATTATTAATGCAAACTCTCATGTATTTTTGGGAATTTATATTATTTCATTGCTTTACTTTCTTTATTTAAGTTCGACCAGATGTACATAGAAATACAATGATTTCATATAAGAAAATGAATTAATAATATAATTCATTGTTTTTGTTTAACATGTAGTTATTTTTGAACAAGATCTATGTCAACTGATTGAAAAATTAAAAGAATTTACTTTTCTCGATATTTATGACGAAATTCATTATGAAAAAGTTGAATCTTATCATTTAATAGTTCAAATTCACTTTCCCAATAATCGAATAGATATTGAAATATCATGCATGTTAAAAACAATTATTATAGCTCAATACTCATTTTGCTCTGCTTATTTTTCTTTGATGTTATATACTGTAAAATACTTCTATTCAATAACGAAATATTTATATTATTCTTCAAACAATATTTTATTACTTTTTGAAGGATTCATCATAAACGAAAGTGAGATATGCAAAAAATTTCAAAGTATTATATAGAACATATAACGGCGTTTATTTTGACAGAAATCAATATCTCTTCTGTAAGTTTTATTACTAATTGTCAAATAAATAGGGCGTAGATGTAGACGTATCTTCGTTGTGACTCATACCTACACCGTACATCAACATCAATGTGATAAAAATTGCAAAAGAAACGAAAATTGACTGAGCCATCCGCCTTACAATCACAGTCATATATTTCACATAAAAATCAGATATTCAATGGACCATGCGACACAGAACTAATATCGTTTGAATGTGTACATCGTCAAAAGAGATACATTATCAATTGACGAATAGTCCACGTAATGTAGATATTTTTATACGGCTTTATATGATCTATTCATTAAATGATAAGATTTTATTTCATGATGTATACGTTCAAGTAACACATTCAATGAACCATGCAATACAGAACTTATATCATTTGAATGAGTACATCGTCAAAAGAAACACATTATCAATTAACGAATAGTCCATATTGAGTGAATTTTTATGCGACCTTACATTGTTGTCATCGTTCTTCTTCTTCTTCTTCTAACTTTCTTCATTAAGTACCTTCAAATTACTTCACATACATCATCGAGTAATCAGCAATCATTTGATTGTACACAACTATGTCCTTATAGAAGTAACCTAACACGTACTAATCTCAAATTTGATTCGAAATATTTCGTTCGACATAACCCTGAGTTTATTTGTCAAGAGAATTTTCGTAACCTAGCCGATTGGGTCTACGGTTGGTCTGATCAGTCCCATGAATATGTCCAGGCGTCAACTACTGATGGACAGCGTATTGCTCCTTGCTTACCTCACGGCAGTATAATCTATGTTTGTATTGGGTCTATCAACACGTTTTTTGCCAAAGTTTATCCACATTTAATCAATGATTTTGTTTTAATTACGGGTGGAGGTGATTTATCATCGCCGAATATGGCTTATTTGGAGCGAACTGATTCGAAAATTATTCATTGGTTTGGACAAAATGGAATAATTGATGCTTCGATAAGCAAGAAATTCACACATATTCCATCGGTTAGACTTAGATGACTACTCAATGATGATTTTCTTCTATTGGTAGAAAACGAATATAAACGAAGCATGCTCTGAAAGATAGCAGGGTTTTTAATATAAATTATTTTCTTTCTTCATACAATACGAAGCACTGATTGTCAGAAAAATTCACTTGTTTCGCTTCTAAACCTCAAGTAATTGAAAACAGTACATTTTCGAAAAATATCCATTGAAAAAAAAATTGTTTTTGGATGTGGGTAAGAATGAGACTCTTAGTTCTGTCCACATTAACATCTAAACTCTATTGTTGTCTAGCAGTGCTTAGTATGAGTTCAGCACAGATTTTTGTTTTTCTTTGAAATTTTAACGATAGGGCTTCACTGTCACTCAATGGTCGAAGCGATTAGAAGTGTTTATAAGCAGCAAAACAATCATACATTGCCTTCAATTTATAATGATAATGATGAACCACCATATTATATTCAACCAATTGATATGACTCGACGAGCGTTGAATCAAAAACATGATCTTCAGAGAAAGAATCTTTTATTGGTTAATTTTAATCAACATACTGATGGAAGAGGATTTCGTCAACAGATTTGGACACATATGTGCCCGAAAAATAATCGAGCTCCATTTATAACATGTTTATATAAGTCACCTAGTTTCGATATGTCATATATTTCAGATATCTATGCACGAAATCGTCAATATTTATTTTGGTTATCACCACGTGGAAATGGAATTGATTGTTATCGTACATGGGAAGCGTTGTATCTTGATGCAATACCGATTGTTTGGAACTCATCATTGACTATTCTCTATGAACATTTGCCTGTTGTAATTATTCAAAATTATACAGACATCAACGGAACATTTTTACGCGAGAAACTACATGAAATATCAATGAAGAAATATTTTCGAATGAATCAAGTGTATCGATTTGAAAAATTACGAAATGCATATTGGTGCCGATTGATTTTGAATAAATCAAGACATTCATTGAAAAATAACAATATACGAATCAATCGATGTTGGCGAGCTAGAATCTCAAGGAAGTCCTTTCTATTCTCGCTGTTTTCATAAGAAAGAGAAACTGATAAATTATATGAAAATGTGTCATTGAATTCTGTTCTCATTTCGAATCATCTCACATCGTTTGTACTATTTTCGTTTGATCCAAATAAATGAACAACAAAGATAAATATTATCATACTGAGACAATCGTATTAATAATATCAAAAATTTCCTAATATAAATTGTACAGAAAGTTTCAAGGGTGGGGTGTGGGTGTGAATGTGGGATGGGTGTGGCTGTGGGTGTGGGTGTGGGGTGTAGGTGTGGGTGTGGGTGTGGATTCAAAGACAATAAACACACCCTCACACCCACACCCTCCCCATTACAGACAGACCCTCATTACAGACACCCCCATTGCAGCCTTTAGTAATTAAGAATAACAGGCGCCAGATGTTCTAGTTTCTTTGAAAGATTGATCAAGTTATAATTTTGAAAGATAATCAACATCGTTGTTTGAGTTGATTAATGTATATATATATGATAGCGCATAAGATCTTCTATAAATATCATGGATATGTAATACAGATTTATTTGCCAATTAATTTAATGATTATAATGATAAGAATGTTGAATTATGAAAAACGAATTTAAAAAAACATAAAAGATAATGAGCGAATAGTAACAATGCAAAATAAAAATAGGGTGCCTGTAGAAAAAAAATTTCTGTTTGAAATGCAGAAATTAGAAAGATTCTTAGTCTGATTTTCGATTATCCTACAAAACAACTACTTAGGGCAAACCAAAAGTTCGTAGAACGGTTTTAAATAACCTTATCGGATAAGGTAACCTATTCAGAAATGAAAAACCAAATATACCATGTTGTAGAGTTTTTTGAGGCGCGTCGAATGGTATATAATAAATCCTGTTTTCATAAGACTTTGAAGGAACTAGAGTTAATTTACTGATAGACAACTATGCACCCATACTCACACCATCACCTAAGTATGATAGGTTACTGAATATTGTGGTCCTTGGAATTAGTCGAAAGTATTTGTAAAATATTTTTTCTCATATACGATTTTGCAGAGTTTTTGACGGGCTACAACCTCATATATGTAGCATCTCCGGTCATCTTGTCAGTGTGGGAATGAGTGGATGTGAGTGTGGGTGTGTAGTCGTCTATCAGTAAATTGACTCTAGTTCCTTCAAAGTCTTATGAAAACAGGATTTATTATATACCATTTGACGCGCCTCAAAAAGCTCTACAACATGATATATTTGGTTTTTCATTTTTGAATACGTTATCTTATCCGACAAGGTTCTTTAAAACCGTTCTACGAACTTTTGGTTTGCCCTAAGTATAGTCTACGAGATGTTTCTCATTTTACATATTGTATATTAGTTTAATGAGGCTAGAGAGCATATGTGAGTTTCACATTTCAGCTCCAAAGGGGTCGCACTAACAAGCTTCGTTAGCTCTTACTTTATTTTCATTTCCCTTCTTCTTTTTCTCTCTTCCGTGTGTATGTATAAATAGCTCTGCTCGCATATCGTTTATTAATCATTTCCGACCCACTTTCCTCTTCCTTTCCTGTTTGTACTATTTTCCTTTTCCAAAGATATGAAATAATAAACGATAAACATATTAACATTCTGTCATAAAGTTGAAAATAATTTCCTTTCATTTTAAAAGTTCACAAGCCATAATCTAGAGTTGGAGGACATACTCTTCATCATGTCAAAGAGAATAATATCTTCGCTTTTATCATTTTTTACGAGAAAATCTATCTATTACCGATGTATATTATGAGTGGTGATAGAACAACAGTAGAAATGATAATGTAAATTCGAATTAAAATATAATGTGTTTTTCCTTTTAGTAACTAATATATCTTTGTTTACTAGTGGTTACTTTCTTTTTATTGGTTATTTTTCTGACTACTCTAGCAGAGTAGCGATATCCAACTTAAGTTGATTTGAGGATTACGTTATCCGAAAAGCTTTTCTCTTTGAATTCAACAGTACTTGTTACTGCAATTCGGTTTATTATCCTGAAGATGAAAAGTTAATAACGTCATCAGTAATAAAGAAATAGCAACTCAATGACAGTCACGGCATCTCAAGGAACAATGAAAATAATAAGTCGTAAAAACACGTTATTAATCTTTCTTTCTCTCACTTTCTATCTGTTTTTATTAGCATTCGCTCGACTTAAAATATTATTTTTAATTTTGAAAAAAACAAAATCTTTTTCTAATATAAAAACCCGAATCATGATCTCAAAAATTTTCATAGAGATCTTGCTTGTTACTACAAACTGTACTAGTATTTATAACTAATTAGAAACGATCGAGTATGATTCCAATACTAATTGTATAAATGTTTACTACGTCGTTCTCTTTTCTTATTAACATATTTTTCTTTAAGCTATTCGCAGATTAACACTTGTTTATTTCTTATCTAACATCATTAAATCATACAAATATTTAAAAAAATTTTTCTAAGAATCAGACTGAAATTATAGCATAAGAACATTCTCGAAGAACACATTAAATTTTTTATATAAGGTTACTAGATTTTAACTTGATTATCATTATAATGGCTTTTTTTTACAATAAATCATACCTTTTAAGTTTCATAAGACATTTGATTTACATTTTAGACTATAAAGATAAAATCTACGATTTTTTTTGAACATTTTCCTACACATCTAATCTGAGTATTGACCGAAAAACAAAAAACAATAATCTGTGTATTATATCGTCTATTTACAAAGTAGTATTTCAAAGTAAACACATTCATATCAACAATCAGTTTAAATCTCTCTTTCATTTGATAACATTCTCTTCTTTCGTTGCCATGTCATCAAATGTTACTACATACCACACCACTACGTCGACCGTTACCACTCTCGTGGACGAGAGTTATTTGTCACGGATAACCAAATCCTCCATACTTCTTACTGGACAGATAGTATCAATTCCCTGCTATCTGTTTATTTTATATCATCTTGTCGCAACACAAACAGCTCGACAATTAGTATACAATCATGTCGTATTTGTCGTAATGATTCTTAACTTTCTAATTGTTACCTATGATTTGGGAATGCTGATAAACTTTTCTCAACAAGGGATCGTTAGTCCAGCAACAGTCGTTGTCTGTTTCATGTGGCAATATATCGATTACATGTGTTACAATTTAGGCATCCTTCTCATTTTATGGGCATCGATCGAACGACACATTCTCATCTTTTCGCAACATTTGGTTAATAGTTTCCGTCGGCGACTTGTGTTTCATTACTTGCCTATTGCAGCTCTAATCATATATACGGGTATATTTTACATATATGTTGTCTTTCTCTATCCATGTGACAAAACTCCCGTTCCTACACGTCAATATTGTGGACGTCCATGCTACATAAATGTAGGTGTGGCAGCACTAGTATATTACGAATCATTCGCTCATCAAATTTGTCCAATATTTCTGACTGCTTTCTTCAGTGGTCTTTTATTGTTTCGTATCGTCCGACAAAAACAACGTGTTCAACAAGTCATACGATGGCGTCAGTTTCGAAAAATGACTATACAACTCATCTACATTACATGTATTCATGTTGTCTTTGCACTCCCATATATTATTGTTGTTCTTATCAATTGGACAGGCTTTCCTACAGTCGGAGTAAACATACGAAGATATTATCTCGATCCACTTAGCTATTTTATCTCTATTCTTCTACCATTTGCTATTCTCCTATCGTTACCCGATTTGAAAGAAAAATTGAAAATATTATTTATTTGTCGTCGTCGTCGACAAATGCTTGTTCCAGTCACAAGAACAGTTGTCGGTAACACATTGATGAATTAGACTCATTGTTCTTACCCTGAAAATAGTTACGATTAACTTTATTTGGATCGAGTTTTTATATGTTTTTGAATATTGTTTTCTTATAAATCTAGCACACTCTTTTAGTTATTTATTCTGGATATCAAAACAATAGTTTTTTTTGAAAAAAAAGTAGATCTAGTTATTGAAAGAGTAATACGAAATTGCACATCCACTTTATATCATAGCTGCAGTGATTTCAAACATTATAATAATAAAAATAATTGTAGTAAATATGAGTAGAACTTAGTTTTTTGAATATCCATTCCTATATTTGTTCTCTAAAGTCAAAATTCTTAGTTCCGATTCTAGATAGAAAAAAAAAGCAAGAGTCGTCAAATAGTGAGAACTAATTAAGTGACGAACACTACTGTCCATTACATACATTCTATTTCTATTAAAGTTAATATTCGAAACATGCCTAACTGATGGAGTAAAATACTGTCTCAAATGATGAATATATCGTATAGAAGTAAAATCTATAATGAACATATGATATCAAATATGCACTCTACTTGAAGAAATTGTTTTTTCACTCTGTGTTGTATT